CATTCATTCATTCATTCATTCATTCATTCATTCATTCATTCATTCATCATCAATAGTTTATGAAAGGAGACATCTTCCCGAAGTCGCCAGGTTCTATCACGAGCACACCATTTGCAAGAAGTTGGAATCCCGCTTGGATCGCCAGGCACGCGTCGCCGGCGTTGAAGCCATGAATGTGTATTCGAAGAGGGGGACCAACCAACCAGTATATCTAATTGTAGTTATATATATATACATTTGCGTAGCTGTATGCGATTCCATCTCTACCACGGACGGTGCCTATGGGTGCCATACGGGCGCCTCCGCAGCTTCAAAGTGGTGCAAGGCTCGTTCATCCTTATCAGTCACCCGGCCCGAAGCCCAGAGCCAAACCACCAACCAGAGAACAAAAGAACACCATAGCCCATATCATGTATAGGATGCGAACCAAGGCTATTCAACCGTGCTGGTTTTGAAACTAGGCGCCCTTCCGCACAGATTCCCAAACTGGCGCGTCTTGGGGGATTGTGTATAACTCTCCGCATCGGTGCCGCTCTCGTGAAGCCGTGAAGACTGGTATGTGCGCACAGCACCTGGCTAGCCATGTGAAGACAGGATGCACACCACCACGGGAGCCGTGAGACACTGCCGGTGGGCCGCTTGTGGAGCCTGTTGGCCCGGGCCACAAGAGCAGCTCCAACATTGCATGGGTACAGTCGCTCGCCAACTGTGACTCCAACCAAGCAAAACCAGCTGGAAGCCGGCACAAACGGAATGATAAAGTTGATATAGATAGATAGGTAGATAAGATAGATGGATAATTATAGGTTAAAGAAGAAGAACTGGGCAGTAGAAGCAATCATGGACAAACATCAAAGCTCGCGCGTGGCTTGCGCAGCAACGAATCTATTGCAGATGCCGACGAAGCAGTTTTGATTGACGCAGCTTCTCAGCGCTCGCTGTCAGCAACTGGCTTTGGCCTGGTTCACTTTCATTCGGCAAAAGACACAACTAAAGAATGACCAAGCAGGTTCAGGTCAGCGAGGACACCTTTTCTATAATCGCATCTACGAGACTGAGAATCGCTATCCTAAGCACAACGCCAACGTTTGACACCCTGTTGGTCAAGAGGTGTGCCACTTCCTTTGTTTGAAGATCCGCTTAGCTTTATTGGCTACAACTTGTGTTTGGTCATGCTTGGGGAAAATTATGTAAAGCCAGTATTATTTGTCCTGCTATGCAGTGTTTATTTAGTCGCATTCAAAAATGGAACAACGCCATCGAACCTCAGAAAACTCCAATGGTGCAAGTTTTTACATGCTTTACGTGTTCCCTATAATTTGGTTTGGGGGGTGACAAGACCAGCTGCATATCATGTTGGCAACACTTGGGTTTCCAGCTTCGACGGAGTCAATCAACGGCAGAGGTGAGCAGAGCTTGGACCTTGGTCAGTTTCCGAGCAGAATTGCTGAAAACTGCTGTATAGGGACCAATGTCGTTCCTGCCAAGTTCATTGTCCTGACAACTGCCTCCTTTGGCGCCGGCCTCAGCGAGGCATTGGCCTTAACCATCCTCACCGCGGTCGCTTGGATGGGTGGAGTCGCCGTCGGGCGTTTCGGTCATCCGCTTGCCGCCGTTTCGCAGCCGTTTCAGTCGCGACATGAGGAAGGACGCCGGTCTGTTTGCGGATGTTGCGGGCCCCTTTTCCATAGCCGAGTCGAGAGCGTGATGATCCATGACACAAGTATGTGCCACAAGAGTATGTGGGGGCCATTCGCACTGGGCCATGAAACAAGATTGGTCAACTTGGCCTACTGCATGAGAACCGATGGCTTCACGAAAAGGCAGCGATGTGTCAGTGTTAGCTCTTTGATTGTTCAATGATTTTTGCAGACACTGTGACACTAGTGACACGTGGAAACAAAGTTTCACATCAGGTTTCACTTACGGGGCCTGTATTTGTTATAGAAATGATTGAATTGGATATATACGGTTGAGATGATGGCTTCTGAACCACTTCAAAACCACTACCCGGAAAGGATCGGGGCGGAACGTGCACTTAGAACTTTTGAGCTAATCGCACAATAGTTCAACAGGGTCCTATATTTCAGTTGTGCCATGTTGTTTTTTGTTGTTTTGATGGTGTGTAGATATATACGTATATTATATAATATATATGTTTGATTTAGTCTATATTAATATCATTATCTGATAATTCCAAAATAAGACCATTTTTAACCGGTTATTTTTGTTGGAAGTAGGTCCACCGCCCATATCCGGCCGTGGAACGAAATGCTTCTCATATGCAAAGTTGGGGACGTATGTGCGGAATTCCATTGGGGAAGAGTCTCTGAATGTGCACTTCCCAGTAGAATTGACACTTCAAAAGTCAATAACAGTTGCAGGCAGCTGAGCTGCTGTGTTGAACCTTTCAGAGTTATATGTCATCAACTATCGGGATGAGGACCACAGGAACGGAGGTTTGCCCGGTCTGGGAGGTGACGAGCAGAGTTGCCAAGCTCAGCTGCTCCTTTTTTCACTCTTCTTCTTTCAAGCTCCCTGTGCTTTCAGCAATGTGTTCACAGCTGAGTAGAACTCAAATGATCTTGTGAAATTGACGATCATGTTCTTCACCCAACTCCCCACACCCATTTTAAACATACGGCTCATACGACTCGAGACTCATACGACTACTATATAATTTGATGACCATCATTACATTGTTGACAATGTTGTGAAATCGATTACAATGTTGTGAAACCAAAACATATTTTGTGAAATTGATGACCATATTGATTGTACAACCTAATATTTTTTTTCCACACAGTTGCCTGAAACATACACAAAACACCGCGGCCAGTTGCGGGCGGTGGGCCAACGTAACTACTAGATAAACAATCATTTTCACAGCGGTATGTTTCGTTTGTACGTCTCTGTCCACGGATGTGGTTGGTTCAAAAAACTGCTCGGGCTCCAACGCATTCGTGGTTCCCAGCACGGAGTAATGACTCTTTGAGTCCGTGCTAAAGAAGGAAAAGGCTGAGTCAGCGTACAGCATGAGAGCAACAGCTGGTGGACAAACAGGGAAGAAGTAAAATCAAAAATCAAACGCAGTCTGATCCTGTTTGATCGACGCAGCAGCTGAGGTGGAGGTCTTTTGCTGCACCTTCTTCGATTCCCTCTACTACACGGGGCCCGCTTCAACCGTTTGCGTTTGTGCAGTGGATCCTGGATCGCGTGTGGAAACTTCCACGCCACATTCGCAAGTGCCGTGCGGGTTGTAGATGATGTGGGTGTGTATTTTCATCGGGAGCCCCCTCCAATGAGTTTTGGTCTGTTTCTTTTCTTCCAGGGTGCTTTAGGAGGTCTCCCAATTGTTAATACACATCCACATTTTTTGGGTGACTTTGTAAACCTTTTCCAGGCCCTCTGATCTGAAGCGGACGTAGTGGTCCGAACCAGTTAGAAGGCCAACGAACAGGTTTCCCAGTCAAATTAAACAGGGCGCACAAGGGTTTAACCAGTGCTTGACAGATGTTGAACAAACCTTTACCCACTTCAGGAATTTGGAGCCTCATCTCTTTCCCCAGTAAGTCTATGGCTATGGATCACATGCCCAAACTTTTTTTGGGGCATTGGTTTTCCCACTAAACATATCTAAAGATAAACAGGTGGAAAAAGGTTAGCCTTTATGTTCAAAGGAAACTGAGGGAGTCAGCCTCATAGATGAACTGCCCCGGCCAATGGACATGGATGACTTATTGTCTTGTCCGCATACATTGAGGTCTCCCGATCAACATTGTACTTTCCCAAGCTGCTTAATGTAGACTGTTTATGTCAACAGCAACACCATTAATATGGAGATCAAACCATCCTGGTAGGGAGGGTTTATTCATCAACCCTCTCCATGAATGGTTTCTTTCGGGTCATGTATCCTCGCGCTTCCAGCGGAGGCTGGGCAACCCTTCGTGGCGCGGCCGTGGATCCCGGGCGAAGGATCAGAGTCAGGCCTCAGCAGACTCTGCAGACCAAAGTCCTCGGCCTTTGATTAAAATATAAGGTCATGATTTCAGAAAAAATGCGTTGTGTTCATTTGGTTTGTTTGGTTCATGTGTGTTTTTTCTTTGCAACTTCCTGATTCCTGTTGTTTTACTGAAGCAGAGTGGTTTACTTGACGATGAAGGTAAGTAGATGCTCAGGGTCAGGACATAACCTTGGCATACCATGACAGAGCCTTGACATGGGTTTGTGCTGTCAACACTGCAGCGTGTGTGTCAACATTGATGGATAAGTACAAGCTGCATTTGCCGGGATTCGGTGAAACCCAATCTCTTGCAATGTTTTGCTGTCTTGAGCAGTCAGTGCCTATTCTTGAGATCTCATTCATCACTGATTGCCCCAAAGTGGGGATTGAATTCACCATTCCACCTTCAGGGACCCTACCAACCCTACTTACCTGGACCTCTATATTTGAATGAACATTTTAGTCGGTTCACGCCGGACCTGATCTTAAAGAAAGAACACATGAATGCTATACCCATGCCTGGTCTTTCGGCCAGTCGCACAGTTTTGTTCTCTGTTGGTCACCAAGGCGACTCGGACGGCTTCGTCGGGACGCCCTGAGAGCGAAGCAAACGGGGACGGGAGGATGGGCAGGCTTCGCCCAAAAGACATGTTCCCACCTGATGCTCTGAGGGTCATGAAGTCATATGAAGTCCCTTTCATTTCGAGTGACTGGAATGGTTTTGTGGGTTCATTCTGATCTGATGCGAGCTCAGCAAGCTCTGCTGTTTTCGTAGAGGTCGGGCCGGACTGGTTTAGAGTCGCAAGAAGGTCAGAAACTTGACCCATGACGATTGACCCATGACCATTCAAAAGAGGTGCGACACATCATGGGCCAAGCTCAGTATACATTTGGAACTCAACTATGACGTCCGGTGCAGCTTTTCAGCTTCCTGACTTCACGAAGAGACAGGACATAGGAATACCCGATGGACCCGCAGAGAGGGTGATGTGTGGGACATGTAGGCCGTAGGCCGCTCCAGTCGTACCTTCGATTGTATGTGGATCCTTAATGATACACTCTTTCACCGCAGAGTTCTTCTTCCGCCCGATCGTTGCTTGAGGCTCGCTTGCCGATCTTCTTGGCATGTCGAGGTTTCCTGGGAGGGGAGGTGGGTGATGGTGATGTGATGCAGCAACACCGAGGGACATATGTGACTTGATATATGATTCAATTGCAAGTGGTTGGGGAAGTCCTTGCAACATCTTGCAATCGCCCTCTTTGGACATGGATCTCGATGGTTCTCTCATGTTCTCTCCCATGGATCTTTTCATGTGGGGATTCACCAACCTCCTTCGCACGGAGCGATTCACCAAGCCGGCATCCGAACTTGGATGACTACCATGCTAAGGTTCAACCCGGCCTTTAAAAAATGGCCTCAAAATGCAGGAAGACCCTGAACTCTGAAAACCAAAAGCTTTGACCTCCCATGACTCTGAACTAAGATTCAGCACATGGCCTTGAGGTGACAAACATGTTTCTGCAATAAGACTGAGCGCGAGAAGGTGAGGTGGCAAAAATGTGTTTGACAAGACCCATGTACCATCAATTACCAATGTTTTTGCTTGTCCACTCGCTTGATTGCTTCCCATTCATCTTCGGAGCTGAATATTTCGGACCATTTGGAGTTTTACACCTTTCACCGGTTCCGGACAGACAGGATGGACTCAGTTTCGTCAAAGGAGGGGTGTGTGTGTTCTCTTTTTGATTGCGGCGTAGATGTTCTTTTGAGTGGCACCACCCACTGTTCGAACACCCGGAACCGGACCGGACCTGGACGGGTGCCGTGTCGTTTCGGCCGTGTCACCAGGACTCATTTGGCTGATCATTTGGATTTGGCAGCGCTTGGCTCGTGTCACTTGGCATGGTCCATGGACGACCTGCTTGGCGATTTTGGCCTGCTTTTGCTTCTAGGTCCCAGGTCGATTTTTGTGGCAGCAGGTTGGAAAATTGATGGTTCACCCCACCCAACTGCATGTCGATGACTTTAGCATTTAGTATTTGTGAGTTTGGGAGAAGTGCCCCACTGGTCCCACTTCGCTATACAGAACGAATTTGAGACATCCCGCTGCTGCGAGAACAAAAAGTGCATCATTGAGGAACAGACAATGAGGATAAGCTCCGATTTAAAATATTCATAAGAGCATAACACTTCTCATTCCTGTGCTTTGGTCTCAATCCGGAACTGGATCGAAATCTCAAGGTTGAACCCCCTTTTTGCTTAGCCGAAACCTTGCGGAGAACGCGTAGCGACCTAGTGGACAGTGGATATACCATCATGATATACCCGAGTGATCCTAAGTGTGTATTTTCGGAAGAGGTGTAGTGAGTACACCCAAGTGTGTCATAGTGTGGACATGAAAGTCCAGAGTTTGGGATGGTACTTTACTGTAGCAATACATGCGCTGCTGATTCCCCCTTTTTGTCCGACCCATCGTTTTGTGATGTTCAAGAACTCTTTTGAAATACAACTTACTGCACCTGTTTGTTCAAAGCACCACAATGATGATCCATGGCTGTTCTTCGTTCTTGGCATCACCAGGAACTTTTGCAGAACATACCAGTGGATTTCAGGAAGCCAGTTCATTCAATGCAGGAATGCAAGGTTCCATTATTGATGCAGATTCCTTGACTTCCACTGATGCGGATCCTGACGGAAGGTTGTCAGAACGTGCTTGAAAAAGAAAACCCGGTGCTGCGTGCACTATGGTCGCTCAAACTTATCGGATGGTGACAAACTATGATCAAACTTTTGGTCCAAACCAATGCCATCGTTGATATCACACGAGGTTTTGGTCATGGCCATCTCTATGTGGTTCTTAAAGCAAGTCACCTACCCCAAAGCACCCGAAGGTACTGGGTACAAAACCCTCCACACCTGCACTGTGCTTGACGATCGATCCTTCCATCTCAGGTGAATTCTCGTTTGCTGCGGCATCCGCAAGAGGACCCGCCGAAGATGAGCGAACAACATGTTGGTTGATCCGATTGACAGATTTTGGACGTCGGGAGTTCTACGACAAACACAATGTGTGAAACTTGTTCAAAAGTTCTGTAAACAGTTCTGAAACATTTTGACACTTGTTTAACACATTTTATCACGATGTTCTAGATGTTCAGTCGTTCTGCAATTTCTTTTGGTTTGTTTGGGGAGGCCCAAGTGCTTGGAGATGCTTTGGAAGCGCGTGCACGGAGGGAAGGTCATCGGGGCCTTCATCAATGGCAGCCACAAATGGTATTTGCACAGTAGGAGCCCCTTGTGGTGAAGAGGATGGCCCTGTCCACCATGACTTTTGTGGGGTCTAGTGGGATGGTAATCCTCCTTCCAGAGGCTCTGCGGCCATGCCTGGTGTAGTCGAACGAACCCCTGATAGTCGTTCGTTCCTGGTATGCTAAATGTCGCTGGGTTCCGGTCATCCTCCTTGCCTCGGGTGGAGACGGCGCTCGACATACGGCGCTCGCGCAGTCGCAATTGCTGCTCGCTGCCTCCTTCGCTTTGATTGCGGTGCCCATCCACGCAGGGTGGCAGGGTGGTGGCTTCGAATGGGCCAAAGAGAACCAAGGTTAACAACGTGGACGACGCGGATCATGGACGAACCACTGCAGGAAAAATCGGATACTGAGTGCATGATCTAGAATCTAGAGCCCCTTTCACTTGGGGAACTCAATCCTTTTTCACCGAGAAGAAACTCAGATGCTTGCAAGTGAACATTCAGCTGAAATAGTGGCTCCATCCTAAATTAGTCATGTCACATAGTCACATAGTGTTTCCAGATTTTTTGGAAGCCGCACCAAATTATCAATGAGCTATTCGGGGATAAGCAAAAGTCCGCGTAAGAAGGCCCAAGCTCCCTTTGCGGGGCGGTCCCCCCCAAGATGCATCAACTCAATCCATTGGATGTGGCCGCATGCGGGGAGTGGATGTGAAGAATGAAACACATTGTTTGTAACAACTTGCAGATGAGAAGTTTATACCCTCCCTCCAATAATCATGGAAGTGGACAACGTCCTCTTGGTGGAACATAGTATTCTAAAAGGTCGGGACGTCCACTTCTATGTTTGCTGGAAGGGGAGTAATCGTGGGGATGAAGAACAACTCGCAGATATTTGCAGATGTGTTGTTCCGATCGTCCTTTTTGGGGGATCTGTGGATGAACCAACAACATCCAACAACTCACGGAAGTTGATTCAGGTTGTGAGTGTATACAATCTTTAAATACCACCTGGAGGCACTTGACACTCTCTATTTCGACGGAGCCGCAGTTATCTCGGACGTTGGTTTTCAGAGAAGCAATGCTTTGAGTGGAAGCAAACGAGGCTATTTTTTGGACTTTGAAAATTTTGGAACCCTTTGGCAGGCAACTCGCTTGCTTCCGCATGCCGCATACCCTTTGAGAAGGTGAGCAGGGATACTCTTTGATGTAGGCGCCAGGAGGGTCAGGTCGTACCTTCTGAGAAGGTATGTGGATCCATAGGTCTTCTTGGTTTGTTTAAGGAGCCATGTTCACTGGCCAGCAGAAGGAATCATCAATTGGCAGGTCCATTGCTGGCTCCGAGCCGTTCGTGCGATTCTGAGCCATGCCACGGCACACCCACACACTTGCAGTGATGACTCACCGCGCTGAACTCTGATCGACTTAATGGATGCTTCTGATGATCAATGTTAGGACATGTTAGGACCAACTAGTTGACAGCTAAAAGGAATGGGTTTGATCAGATGGCATTCCATGTTCCATGTTCCAGGTCGCTTGAGGACTCATGTTTATCATGCCTCGATCTCCGCTTGCCGTCCGACCTTCGCTTGCCCTCGATCGATCATCAGGACCTGGTCCAAAGCATCACATCACCCGAGTCCTCAGACGTGGCGTACGGCAGAAGCGTGTTTGAACTGCGTTGACGCTCCGTGGTTTTCAGCTTTGTTTGCACAAAGCCTGAAGCGGAAAGCAATATCCTTCAACCAATGTTAGACAAACGGTCCCTTAACTATTTTACCCATTCATACCCAGCAATGAGAGTCTTGCACCCTTAAAGCTTTAAGGAACAGTTCTGGCCAAAAGAACAAACATAATTTGATGTGCCTCAAAAAAAATATTGCATGGCTAACGGCTAGAGCCAGGGGAACTTCTCATGTGGCCATGGAGCTTTTTGCGCGCTGCCGCGCGGCACCACCTGGCAGACACCACACCGCCAGTGCCACCAATGCCGATGCCGTGAACACATGGGTCGAAAAGGGGCGGAGATGCCGAGGATGTCATGGAGCGAGGAGGTCAAGAACAATTACTTACTGTAAGCTTTTGGTCGTTCGCCTCTCGTTTACATCCACAGAGTTCATCGCGAATGACATCAGTCGAATCGTGTGCCAATGTCACTGGCCGAAAAGATCCATTGAGGGAAGTCCCCCCCGATCTGGGCGGTCGCCCATCGATGGGCCGAACACATGCTGGCACGGTCGCCGGTTTTGTAGGAAGACTCCGCAAGGACTTTGGCTTCGTGATTTTCGCCACGAACCGGTGATAAATATTGGATTTTGATAGCCATTGCCAGTATGAGGGCACTAGTGATCCCGTACCATCCCTTACCTAAAACATCCTATTAACGAGTTTCCAAACGCATATATATAATATATATATATATATATATGATCGCTATATGTCGCTGTTGTGGCTTGGCGTTGCATCTAAGTTGGAGGCTCCACGGATTCATCCAAACAATCATTTCGTCCAGTAAGCTAAGCGTTATTGAGCCTAGTATTGAGCCTGGGCCTAGTTGAATCTGGATCAGAGACTATTAAGGTCAAGGCTTCTGGTGAGGCAGAATCCTCATTTCATCAATATCAAGTGTCCGATCCCTGAGCAGATTGGAATCATTTCCCGAACCGGCTCCGGACGTCTCTCAACTAACTCCGCAGCGGTTCCAGATGGTCACACATTCATGGCTTCGTTCTATGCCAGAAAGGCATCCAAAAACTTAAACGCAAAGCTAGCGCCTTGATTCAGCTTCTTTTTGCAGAGGAGAGTTGCATGAAGAAAACAAATAGATTGCCCTCAGACATTCAACAAAAAAACTGTGCCTTCCCGCGTTCAGGACATCCCTGTAATACAATTTCAGGGAGCCCACAGTTCCAATTCTCTCCTAGCAGACGTGCGTCGGCGCCGTCGCGGATGCACTCGTTTGCGTTCCTCAGGCGACGATGGCCAAGACCCTTGGTCCGCTTGTTGGAACTTTGTTGAACAGAAGCGTGACGAGTGGCAGGTGTCGAGTGGCGGGCTTCAGTGGGGATGACCGACCCTAGGGGCGAGGGGTGGAGTGGGGGAGATCTGCGAATCACAATGGTTGGTGAGAAGACTGGACTGATTAAAAATGGCCACTTTGGATGGGAGCCTTCTTGGAAGGGGGGAGTCAGGGCTTTGAAAGGATGATCTTTTGGGGTTGGCCACATCTCTTGAAGATAACTTGCCCCCCGCAAAGGCTGTACTTGGAGAGAAGCGGGGTCCTCCACTCCATTGGGTTATATAGTTCAAGAATAGGGTAGAATCGGGTGGTAGAAGAAACAGTTTCAGAAAGAGTCCATAGTAGTGTGTGGAATCATTCCAAGAAAACCTGACAGGTTGCAAACCAACATGTGTTTTCAAAACCTCCGGACCGTGCTTGGTCCGGCCATGTCCATGGCAGGCGGAGTGCCAAGCCTGCGAGGATGCGTGTTACAATCAGGAAGGAGAACACCAGGAGCCGGGTGGGAACCCAGAGGGACGAGTTCTTGTGTTACTTGCACCCATCACTGACCCAAGCAGCATGCCTACTAGTATGCCTACTATTGTGAGAAGTCGTTGATGGCTCGGAGGGTGCTTCAAAATCGGTGCAGGATGTTTTATTCCATGAACGGTAATTAAGTAATATAAAATATTTATTTTCTTGACTGAGTGATCAATGTAAAAGACAGGTCGACCATTTCAATTTCCGCCCCTGGAAAGTCTCACATGTTTCAGAATGCTGTCCATCATTGGCTGTAAATTAGTGACATTGAGAGACCAAAGGTCAATCAACGTGGCCCGACCTGCAATGGGTACGTTGTGTGTATGTGGGTGCTTTTCTTTTCAAAAAGCAAGAGGACCACACAAACTGGAAGAAGGGTTAAACACCGCATCGATTCCTGCATGATCATCCATGCACATCGGCCATGAAAGGTAAAGTCGTGGATCGTTAGACCGAGATTCTGCAAGTTGAGCGTCCCACCCAGAACACTGACCATGGCGAAACCCAGTTCTTAGGCACCCAAAAAGATGTTGATGCCAGATTAACTAACCGTTTCAGGGCTTCCAAGGCCAAATGGCGATACCCCAGCCGTGGTTTGAATCCATTAGTGTTCCGGTGCAAAAGACCAAAGAAAGAAAGGAATGATATTTGCTGGCAAAAACAAGAAGCTTTGTACCCTTCAGAGTGCTCAGAAGGCTTTCAGAAGCCGTCGACAGCTCGGAAACATGTCGCCTGCTCGAAATGGTCAAGCAACTGTTCTGTAGTTAAAGCAAAGCAGCAAACAACAACAGGGAGTTCTGGACATGTGCGAACTTTTGGGGCCTCACCAAAGCTCACCTTCGACGAAATACATAGACCTTTCAGCGCATTTCAGTGGATGGTATCAGGGCCTTGGCCCTGGCGGCCCTGGCCTTCAAGGAAACGTGTAACCTGAGGTCCTCACTTTGGGTCCAAAAAGTCACACCCGTCGGTCCCAAACCTCACGGCGACTCCGCCCCTCCGCCCGCCAGCACTGCACTTGCTGGGATCCTGAAGGTGAATGCGACTATTGGCGTTCCTTGGCGTGGTCTGGTCAGCGCAGAGGACCACGAAACGCTCGTTTGGGGTGTGTGAGTTTTGGGTTCAGCGGAAAATGGGTTTAATGGCGCAAAGATCACAAAACAAAAAGCATGAACTGGAAGTTGGTAAGTACTTGATGTACCACCCTCCTTCATGTTGCCAAGCGGTTAGGAAAAAGTTAGTCACAAAAGGATCCATTAAACATTGTTCAAAGCAGTAACATTTCATTGTGCATTCCTGGAAGAGTGTCTTGTTGCAGTTGAGTTGCGTCCTTGGAAGAATTGGGTCGGGGGATTCATGATGAGTCCGACCGTTAGCGGTTGGATTTTCTTCAGCATGCATGCACGATCTTGTTTGTTTTTTTTTTTGTTTTGGGCCATTTCCAACATACAGCACTTTGAGAGGCTTGACACTGAACATGCATCCGGAGCATTAGTTTTGCCTCCCACTCCCTCCTTTCCCATTCCTCACCTTCAAATACCTTTCCCAACACACTATAGTATTATATAAATCCAGAATAAGTCATTGTAGAACGATCTCATGATTATTGCAGTTGATCTTGATCATCATAGTAATTATACACAAGTATCTACCCCAAAGTTCCTTACACCAAAACTACCGTAGAGCTTTCCCGAGAATGTCCTTAGACTTTGGGCTATTGTACCTGGCCATGAATCAAACAACATCCAATCCAAAGCACCAATGGGTCGAGTGCTCTTGCAAGGCAAAGAAGAAGCTGCCCGTCGTGAGTGCATGGACGACTATTGCACCAGGCACGCCTCCATGGGCATGCTTGGGGAAGAATGCATCACCACGTTTGAACTGTTGACACAATCACAGCACTTCCCGAATGGTAGTGAACTAAACAGATCATAACCCTCGCACCAGGTCATCACTGAGATGTACTGGTACCTTCCTCCGTCAGTGACCAGTCGATGACTCCAAAGTGACCAAGTCAGTGAAAGCATTGGACCCTGAAAGTTTGATGATTTGAGAGGCCGATCAATACTGTCGAAGTAAGGATGATCGGTCCTGATTCACCCTTTTGTGGGGGTGAATCACGCAAAATATATGTCATTCCAGGATTTGAGAACACTGGGTAGATTATGCGTGATCATGTTGGGTTTCAGGCCGCCTCCCTAAAACACTTGGGTTTAAGGTCTTTTAGGGATCCCAATGTCTATCAAGTGGGGGATGCAGATTTGCAGTCAGTCTTTCCATGTATTTCCCGGTCTTTTCTCCGGCGGCGATTCGTCAGATTTGTATCTGGCGGGGACACCGGCTCGCTCTACCGGCCACTTGGAAGCGGGCATGGCAAAAACTATTGCGTAACTAAACGTGAATCTCTTGTACGACACCCTAGCAACATGTAGAATCTAGAATAGACTTGCTTGTTTGCTGATGGTCATTACTTAATGTCATATTTTGTAGTGACTGGGTTAATTTGCTAATCGCAAGCATGTCAGCTTGACGCAGCCTCGTCCGAAGAAGATGGGAAGTGTTTGTGGGTTTGGAGAGTGTTTTGGGAAGGAGCTGCGTTTGGCCGTTTTCCAGGTCTCAGCACTTCCAAGGAGTGGATTGGGTTTGCAGAAGCATGGTGTGATGTATTTTACATTATTTTATCCAGGAACCTGCGCTTTGGTCTACCCGATTGTTGAGCCTTTGCAACTGCTGGACCATTGGTGACCTAGTGTATATGGTTTGCTTGGAAATACTAGGAGTAGTTTTAATCTCGATCAAGCCAGTCTGCAATCGCAAGGCAAGGGGGAGACACGCTTTTCTACGCTGTCATGAAAGTCGCATGTGAAGCGATGGTCTCAATGCAGTTCAAGAAAATGAACAGAATAGACTACAGTACTAGAGATGTCAACCTACCGGGGTTTTGGGCTCCGGGTTTCGAGCAACAGCCAAATTGTCCTTTGATAGTTAAGACACTTAGTGACCTTTTCAATCTTTTTCCATAAGTCCGCCGACTACATAGTGACCACTATCAGATGAACGGAGCGGTGCTGCTTCAGTGAGTCCATGGGAGTCCTGCGTTTGTTTTTTGTTTTTAGTCATTTTAGTCCTCATGTATTACCCCATGAAAATATATGAAAATGACCAAAAACAAGACGTAGGTGACTAGTAAAATCTGGTATCTATTCCAGTCCCATGGATGCCGTGGGATCCAGTCCCATCACGCATCGGACTGGCGTCTCGCTCGGTTGTTTCGGTGAGAGATCACTCGACCACCTGTTGTTTGGGGTAGGTTCTACCTCCAAGCGCCCTTACGGCATATGTTGATACATAATTATGACATGTTTTATATACTGTGTATGTATTTATACAATATATATATGTATATATTGCATTTAAAGTAATCTTGGAGTCGATTGGAGTCCAAATGATCAACTAATCCACTTGGTACTCGTATATGGTAGACGAGGAAGACTCTTGTTTGACCACTGGAGTCCACTCTATCTACCGCTCCATTTAATCACCAAGAATGTGCAGCTCAGGTGGGGCTGCATCTACCCACGAATGAGCTTCCTGGACAGCCGCAAGGCGAGCTTTGGGATTGAGTTTGGGGATTGGTCATGAACTTGGCCGGTCGGACCACCGTCCCCACCACCGGGGTGGACGTGGACCTCCGTCCGTGCCAGGCCGACTGCTTGGCGGAGTGCCAGGCCACCGGCGGGCCGAATCCCGTGGCGCCCAAGAGCTGCCGCGCGCAGTTGAACCCGGCCACCGCCACCGAGGACGAAGCGGGTCTCCCCGGTCAGACCGGGGGTTGTGTCGGTGGGGTCGGCGGGACTGTGATTTGTTAAAATTAAATGTGTTTCTGAATCTGAATGCTTATAGAATGCTTATGGAGTGTTATAAGTTATAAGGGCTTCTGAGTCTTTTTTGAGGTTAGGGATACTTGATGTGTTTGGTGCTTTGCCAGATGGGGGAGCCAACATTCGAGCCGACGCGAAAAACCTGCGTGGAGGAAGAGGAGCAGTTTCTATGCGGAAGAGGTGTGTGATGTGGACATGTGGTGGTTTTGGGTCTAGATTCAAGTTCGAAAGTCTTGTTGTTTGATGTTTTTGTTTTGTGTGTGGGGCTGGGTGGAACGGGTTCCGGGATATGTTGGATATTTAACTAGGGCTCCCATACTTTCCCGGACAGACTGATATTGATGGTGTCTGTGAAAGCGGTGGAGTTCCCCGATGTTTAAATCAAATGTCGTACATCTTCCACCCTGGCCGGACCGATCTGTTCATTGCTGGCGAAACCGGCGCTACCGGTGGGTTGTCCTGTTTGTTCATGAACGTACCGGTCCGAACGACCGACCTCTCTAGGACGTGTGCTGGAAGCTGGGCCAAGGATGGATCGATGTGCCTCCGGTGAAAAAGCGCCAGTGGTGGGTGAAAAGAACCGACCAATTGGTTCAAAGCAAGCCTGAATATAATAGACTCAAACATACCTCCCATTTAGATTAGTAAAACCATGTAAAACCTATTCTATATGGACTTTAGTAATCAAGAGGCTACATTTTAAAGTATATAGGAATGATGAGTGTTGATGAATAAACCACCCATGTGGAGATGTAAGACCATTCTGGAGACGGGGGGAAGGGTATTAATATGTATTCATCAAATCGTCAACAACTATAATATAACATAAATATCTAAAAATAGATCCATCAGTGAATCTCACTAGTGTGAGCTATCCAGTTGTGAGGGTATTTGCAACGAAGAACGGGGCATGCGGAGCAAGTTGACGGGTCAGGGTTCGGGCTGTCCGGTCAACCCCCCCAGGAACCAGCCGAAGCCAAGCCAGCGAAGAAACCCAACTCTAATCATTTGTAGATGAAGCCCCAGTGGCATGTAGGATGTAGTAGCTCAATATACCAAAAAGAAAGAGGGGTTCAAACTGAGACGGTTCTGCAGCCTTTGGGACTAGCAGAATAGCATGGATGATAGCCCACTGAGACACGCTAGGATAAACGAATTTACTTGAGGTGCACCACACTGAGAAACGCTACCAAACTCACACAAAGAAACACAATGTACTTTTGAACAGCTGAAAAAAAATAGAACAACACAACTTTGTCATCCGTTTTTTCTATATATTACTCCTTCATCTCGAGCTGAGGTGCACTACGCGGAAATCCACAACTGGGATTGGTCCCTGGGCCCCCCACCCCCTGAGAGCTGCGTCATTAAAAGCCCCTTGGATGCTGACGGACGGAGATAGGCACAGGCTCCCGTAGTCTAGGATTCCCCCGAAGAGCTGCAAGGCTATGCTGAACGAATTCAGCATGGCTCCCCTTCCCTAGCCTCGAATGTCATTCTATACCACCTTTTCCAAACAAAACTAGGTGGTTTTTGGATACCGGACCTTGTCACCAGGAAAGACCGGATCGTCCAGGTAGCTATTCACCAATTCATCCGAATAAAAACTACCTAACTACTTTGGCAAGCCTTCATTGTTTTGGAAATCTTTGGAACATCGGTCTCCTCTCCAATCAAGAGCCCAGACAAAATATTGACCTGGCCAATGGCAGGTTGTTTGTTTCATGACAACAGGGGCTTGCAGAAGGGTGGTTTACATGGGATGATTGAACCCACTGACTAATGTTTTTCAAGCGAGTTGGTACCACCAACCAGCAGCAGTTGCTCGTTCCTTTCTGCTGCAATGACACCCAAATGTTTGATCGCTGGGAAGAGTCGAGTTTTGCGCAGGACAGGACACTTCCGTCGACACGACCAGGACACCGGAACCTCCACTCGGTGACATTTGAAAATTTGGGGACCCCACAATGATGTTATATATTATATATATACTTAGTTCTCGAAATAGACATCATACATCCATAAAAATCCATAGAAACCCTGAAATGGTCACTGGGAAGGGCATACCAGCACCACCAAAGGGTGGTCTATGCGTTTACCATGCAAGACCATCCTTTTACTGCGTGGTGCAGTGGTGCTGGTTCTTTATTTGATTCGTTTCGGCACTTTCGGCTGACTCGTCACCCTGACCGAGCGGTGCAGTGTCCCCACCGCCCCGTTGATGCGATTTCAGGCTATGACGTCGGAGCGGACGGAAAGCCCTACGTGCCCCCACCGCCCTATGGACCCAGCTGCCTCCCTGCGGCTTGGTAGCAGTGAGTGTGGGTACCCCATGAGTTAAGTGGTCTCTTCTTAGGCCTTAGGTGCTGGTGATAACTTAGACCCCTTGGTCACGAGATCCAAAGCATCAAATTGAATTAGGTGTTCCATGGTGTTCCTCAAATAGACGTGTTCTGACATAATTGAGTTGGATGTTTTTGTTGGGCAAGTCTCATCATCACTGTTCACCGCTTGGCCGCTTGGCTGTGAAGCGTACAAGTTTTTTCTAGCTGCAACAAACAGTTCTCTTGGCCTTCAAATCACACTTTAAACAATGGTTGACCTGGTGTTGGAGTGCAAGATGCTTAGTTTAAAACAATGGTTGTTTGGTACAAATTGTATATATACATATATCAATGGTGGTTCGAATGCTAGGTGTTCTGTTCTGTTCCTCAATCTGCCGAACCCATCGCACCAAGCTTTGAAGAGATTGGGCGTGTTTCGGTCAAGAACCGTCGAGTCGTTTTGTCGTTTGGCGGCACTGGCGATCCACATTTGGACCTCTCATGTGTACGGTCACAGTGGTGAAGTTGGACTGTAGGGAGCTTTGCTCCCTTCAAACGGGATCATCCTATCCTATCATATCCTATCCCACCTGTTTGTTTGGATAAGAAACCACCAGTGCTGAACCTGGAGTTACGACCCCCCTTGTGACTGGACAACTCGGACACAACGATCTTGGAGGGTCATTTGGTGGTCCGCTGGGGATGGATCCGCTTGAAGCGACACAAAAAGGTTTACCCTGAGACACCTTGCTACTAGTAGCTTCTTGTTACTGGTAGTGATGGCCTCCAACCTACTTGCGATGGCCTCCACCTAATAGCGTCCTTGCTACAACGTGTGCCCTCTCATCATGTCATGAATTTCTTGGGCCCAAGGAGTGCGAAAACGAGATGGACAGCTGCATCCACAATCCGACTCTTTTCTGCGGAGAATGCCGGAGAGAGGAATCCAAATTGGAACAATAAGCTCCCGAAACGAACTATGTCCGGGTAAGAGGATAGAGACTCAAACTTGAAAATACATATATTGGAAATTGACCATTATATTCAACTATAACTCAAGTAGAACCTGAAAGTACTCAAATAGAACTGTCATATTTAACTATGACATACCATGGAAGATCTGGAAATCCGAGTGCTCATTGCTGTGGAAGCAACACCACACTCATGTTAGTGGTACTCGTGCTATAGTATGTACTAGTACCTCAACGTCTGTTTGCGCAACAGCCCAAAAAATCAAGGACCAGTGGGGTATCGAAACAACAACACAGCAGCACCAGCAACAACAACAACAAAGAAGCACAGACGAAGACTCCAGGCCATCGTTGAGCCCTCAAAAGCAATCAACAAACATTTGTTCAAACAAACATTTCTTCCTAGAAGACACGGTCCCAAATGTGACCACAAACGAAGTGTACTAAAGCGGATTGATGCTGGGGACGTGTACAGTGAGGTGAGCCGTGTGTTGAAAAAGTGCATCCATGATGAAAACATGACAACATATACCAGTGAGTTACTTCCAAGGGGTCTCCAATATACTACCCCTACACTATCCTGTACTGCTTGTGGGATTCCATTAGACAACACTTGGATGGTGGTGGTATCATTGATCTTAGGGGGTTATTTATATAGTTGTTTGTCAATCCATCAATGTGAAACCTTTCGCGCTTAGTATTGGCTTCCAAGAAAGCCGCCAGCCCAAAAGCGGCCTGAGACATGCGGCCTTTCGGGTCGCCCAACACTTCTCCACATCCGCCGACGACTCCGATTCCCAGGCAATGCTGGAATTGGTTGGAGGTCGAGCAGATGTCTGTTTGGGACAAATGCAAAGGACGTCCCTGGGTTTGCACCGAGCAACGGCAACGGCAACGGTGAAGCTCGGTAAGCTGGTTGGTTGGCTTGTGCCCCCCGGCCCAACGCAGCTGACTCAGGGGTTCCAGGCAGTTCCCACGAGTCCCGAACATGTAGACCGAACGGTTCACCCTGACAAAAACCGTGATTTGCCTGGGATCCACTGGGCAATTCATGGATACTTGGGCTATTCATTTGGATGCTTTTGTGCCAGAAAATAGCCCACTGGCCACAATGTGTTGGAAACGTCTTCAGACTTGCCCGGTTTTGCAACTTCTCTTTTTCTGGGGTAACTATTCTGGCCATTATATAATGATTTGTCCCATGGTCAGAGAAACCATCTACATATCTACATATAGTTCCAGGAATCAGCAGAAAAGAAGACTGTCCTTCGTACCTTGTTACCCGGAGATGCAAACCTGGGATGAAGGTGCCATGAAAATCCTGTCCAATTTGGTATGAACATGAATGAACTACAAAATACAATTCAATTGCAACAATTTTGCTGCTTTCAACAAAAAGGACCAAACGGGACTGACATTCATGTTTCGATAAAATGTATCAAACTCAATCACGCCCCGTCGACCAGTTTGGATTGACCACTGTGATGAAATCATATCCATTCATGAAAGGTTTCATTTTGCAACGGACAGTGATATCGTGGCACCATTTTTGTTCCTCTCCCGGACTGGAATTGCTCCCAGGCTTCGACACCTTCCAGGAGCAATTCCGAGCATGTGCCTGGGCCAACATGAAGCAGTTTCCAAACCATCCATGTAGGGAATGCGAATAGTTGCGTAGCAATGCATAGGAATGCATAGCAATGCATAGCATAGCTTGTACCCAAATTTCCCCAATGGGCTTCATGGTTCTCTACGTACCGAACGATTCAATGGGTTTTTCTCAGAGTTGACACAGCATGTTGAAGAGTAAACTGCTGTCGGTGTCGGGTGCGCCTCCCAGCCGGCCGAACCGGCCATCCATCGACATGAGTCGATGCGCTGATTCAGTGCCGACCTGCAACTGTCGATTGGGGACACTGGTTTCATTTATAGGAACAACATGAACATGCGTGGTTTGTATCATACAGAATGTGTTCCCTTCTTGATTTTGAGATTGCATGTTCCGGATTTTCCCACTCATTTGGATGACCAACTAAGGTGGAATGGAACACGCGTTTGCCCTCCAAAGAAGAACAGGAAGACTGAGCTAGCCTTCCTTGGGAAGATTGAAGCCTCCTTTGTCAATTGCTTCTGGCTAGTTGTGATGTTCTTTCATTTGGCAAAGCTATACCTTCCACTACTGGGTCAGGTGTCAACTAGGTGACCATGTTTGCTTTGACTTGGGTTTGTCACGAAAGGTAGCCCTTTAGGGGATACCTTGAGTTTGTCTTGCGAAGCAAGTGTTGGGACGTCCGGGTCTAATAATTGATCGCTCAATTCAGACCCCCCCCCCCCCCCCCCCCCTTGGAATTGATTTTTCAATACAGACCCCCCCCCCCCTCCCCCCCTCTAAAATCAATTCTCTCCTGGAGATCGTCTTCGTGAGCCTCTCATGATTTCAGGATAGTTGAAACCCTCTTGAACATTCAGAAAGAGTGAATATGAAATTCTAATCACGAAAGGTGTTCCCCGAGGGGATACATACCTAGAGTTTGTTTTGTGAAGCACGTCAATTCTCTCCTGGGGAGCGTCTTCGTGAGCCTCTTCTGGTTTCAGGATAGTTCAAATCCTATGATGTTCCGATTCAATGCTCACCGATGATCTGAGCCATGTCTTTTTGAACATTTCGAGAGCACATGTTTGAACATTTAAAGTGCATATGAACATATATGTACGAAAGGTCGCCTCCGAGGGGATAAATCACCATGTCGAACATTGCATTTTTGTTCCTGCCTCTCGCGTTCTCTTCTCTTCCCGCTGTCTTACCTTTCGTGTCTCCCTCCTCTCAAGTCTTTCTCAAGACGCCACTGGACATTTGAGGATTAGATGAGAAAGGTATCTTGAAAACCGTGCGCATAAGTTTTAGCCTCAGCTTTATATCGACCCATCCCAAACGAATGGCCGGGACTTCTCTTTTGTCACGCCATCCAAATGGCCGTGTCTCACCGTGAGTTGTGGTGCAGGGAACGTGGTCGGTGGACCTTCCAAAGTCTTCATTTTGGGTCAACCAACGACCCCCAAGTTGGACCCATACCCACCACTGGCAAGTGGTGACCTGGTTGCGACAGAATCCTCTTCAGAGGTATGGATTCGAAATGGGCCACCTGCAGTGGCCTTGGGTGCCTCAGGCGGGTCGGGAGTCACCCGGGTGATTAGAAGAACTAGTGTGTCATAGACTTTTTCAATGATGCTCTCTCCAAACTGGCTGAAATACAAACACTTTTTACTGCATTAGAGGAGTGCCTGACTGCAGACCTCAAAGACCCCCTAAGGATGGAAAATAGACCTTGGGCCAAGGGGTCTCCCTCTACTCAAAAAAGAAACACACACATATATATATAATTATGTACAGTATACAGTATATAGTTATATGGGTGTGCAACTGTGTATTAAAGTAGGGAGACCTCCGAAAGACTCTCTGGAAGAAGGGAAATAGGCCCAAACCCATTGGTTGGGTGGTGTGCCTGCCTCACGCTAAGCTGGGGGGTGGTCACTGGTCACTGCATGTCGTCGACTGCATGAAACTGCATGTTGGCCATCAAACCATTGGTTGGGTGTCTCCCTATTAAAATGTATACAGCAACTTGTCGATCGCCATTGTCACCCATCCATGGGCCGTGCAATCACAGGACGGACGTGACAGTCTTTCTGAGAGAGTCATAATGGACGAACATTTTGGATGTTTGATGGTGAAGAGCTGGCACAAAAAGAAATCAACCTTTTAACAGGTTCATTGGACACCCTGGTATACTCAGTAGTTGGTAGTTAGTTCACTTTGCCCAGACACGGTAACATGAACTGAACGGGCAGTTCTGGGAGGATTGTATTTATTTTTGTTGCATTGATAGAGATTTAGATTCCAAACATATTGCTTCTAGAGTATATATAATATATTATACCCGCACCTGTGTCCATTAGATCTCCAAGCGGGATCCTTATAGACCCTTTCAAGTTGGTGTATTTGCAGAGTTGGTGGTGAGAGCCTTGAGGATGTTCAGTTTGGATGATCCTTCAAATTTCTTGGGATGCGAGAACACCACTAAGGTCATTTGTGAGAGGTCATCAGAATCAATGCAAGCACATGCCACATCAATCGCGTGGTATATATATATAGAATGGCTGGGGATCACCTTTTCAGTGTCACGAAGCTGTTGGAAGACTTGGGACACCAAAGTCTTCGCAAAATCGACCTTCTGAGACTGGGAATGGGCCACCTTAGACGCACAGGCGCTAAAACCGGTTTCATTTGACACCTCTTGGATACGAGACGAGAGGAGATACCACAGGGGTGTTACATGGGTTGCTCCGAATGTTGTGAACGATGTCCCCTTAAGGCACAGAGGAGTGGCCATGTTTTGATGTGTTTTAGAATGCTTTTCAGTGCCCAGTCAATCCACCACCCCTGGTTCCGTCTAAGAGCTCAGATTCAGGATGTTGATGCTGTGACGCATCAACAGATACACATCTATGCATATCTATGCACAAAAAATATTGTCACGAGTAGCTATATATATAATATGATATGCATGCCACTGATCAAAAAGTGAGATGGACAACAAAAGTTCATATGCCTGAAACTCGGTGTATCTCCAGAGACTACAAGGCTAAGGGTAGAAGGTAAACTATTGGACTCGTAATTGTCGCTATTCCCCTGCTTTTTTTATTGCGTCTTTATACCTTCCCTGGAGAGGGCCAATGTTCACTCCATTGAGCTCATAGTCTGACATGAATCAGTTACGATTGCTCCTTTCAACTTTTCGTAGGTGTTTTAAATAGAACAGCTATAACCATAATAGAACAGGTATAACATCCATATTTGATGGACTCCGCTATTGACTTATGTCACCGGGGGACGTCCACGGAGTCCACGGAGTCCATCCGCAGGATCCACCGCGAGTGCCGCGACTCCGTGGGCCTCGCGGTGCGCCGGGAAGAACGGGGGAAGAACGGGACGGGAGTCGTGGATTGTTTTGGTTTCTGGAATGGGCATCATCCGCCCCTTCAATCTCCAAGTTGACTTGGGGAAGCCGCAAGATTTCGGCCTGGAAAGCCCAAGAGCTGTGTTGCACGGAAGGAAAGGGGACAGAGATATGTTTGTCCAATGGAAACTATATATACATGCATAGGAGGTCTCCTTCAACCACTATTTCGTTGGGAACCAAAAAAAGTCACTGGGAGCCCATCCCCAACAAAAACACAAATGTTCCTCTCAACCCAGAAGAATTGACGGCTACGGTTGCCTTTTTTTTGATATGGGTCAGTGATGTATACCCTGTTCTAAGGGTACCAAAATCCCAAGCGTCGGGTCGCAAGACCGTCCTGGAATGAGATTTATATATATAACTTAAATAAGATGACTTATGACATTTTATGACCCAACGCAAGCCAAGCCTATTGAGTACATGGATTTGCTGGGAATGATCTTTGGAGGATACCCAAGACTCCTTCGGGTAGACTCCTGCGCCAGGAGGACCCTGTCTTCAAGGAAATGAGCTGCGGAGGTTGTGATGGTGAATGGAGCAGCGGCTCGGATTCGGAGACGGAACTCGGACCTTGGGAGACTTTGGATGCTGGCCTGGGAGAGTTGCGAGGCCGAGTAAGCCTTCTACCAGATGCAATTTGATTAGAGTGAAGGTCATTGAGATTTTTTGAGTATATACTGTACTTGATTGATATATATATATATGTATATTATAGAAGAGGCAGTGAACAGATGTCTGCAGGACTTGAGGATTAGCAGGCTTTGTTGAAGTTTCCATGCAGTCCATACAGGCAGGGGATTTGTTCCTGCTCTTCGCTTTTTTTTTGGATGAACGTCTCATGTGACGAATGTCTCACTTTTTTCAATGACATTGGGCGAAGATGGTCCACAGGGTTCCAGAGGGATTATATAAGGTGCTAAAACGGTGCCCCTGGGACACCAACAGACTCCCTGCCCCTTTTGATATTGAATCTGTGAAAGATGAAGCTGTCACCGCTGTCGCTGTCACCTCGCCATCAGCATTGATGGATTTCATGATCAAAGACCATTTGAAGGGCCGCGCAGCATTGACGAACAAAAAGATGCAAAAAGAACGTTTGGTGGAACCACCAGACATATGGTCATGGTGATATGCATTTCAGACGTCTGACCTTAGCGGGGAGGACCTTGTTCGGGTATGGGGCGAATGGACCCCATATGCAGTTCACGCTTTGCCTAAAGACTCCTGGATCTTGACACTTTCATAACCCTGACATTCCATGTATGCAGTATTTAATTGCTTTGGATTGGTCTCAGGGATGAAATAACATCATCTCTTCAACACATGGAGTGTTTGAGACCTCTTTCGCCCGATCCTTCGACCAGCTTGATTCGCGTCGATCTGGTGTCGACCACCTTCGCCCGACTTTGAGGCTATTCGGCCCGTCAGCTCTATTGCGCGGAAGACTTGAGCAACCCCAAGTGTCGGTGACGCGCTGATATTCGCGGCGGAGATTCGAGCGGATTCGTGCAGCGGCAGTGGGAGCGTGTTAGGTTCCGAGTTCCTGTCAGATCACTTTCCACCAGGTGACCGGTGACCTGTTTCAACACTGTGGATCCGCACCTCATCTTAGATCTTAGAAGTTCGAAGGCCACTCTTGGGCTGTATTTTCGACAGTTCGTTCCATGCCACAAAAAAGGCCGTTTGAGAAGAAACGAATTGGTGATATGTTGTTCAGCAAGTGCATCGGACTCTGGAACCTGTAGACTGTAGACTGTTGATTTGTCAAAACCTCCGCATGAAGAGGATTTACAGTTCACGTATAGTTCACGTGTTTTTTTGTTTAGTTATATAATCAACGTTAATCAACAGTCTCAACCCTGTGAACCAAAGGTGTGAGGAGACGGGTGTATCCAGCAAGAGGTGCCGTGGGTCTTCAAGGATCTGTGATCTGACACGCAGTGTCCATAGCTGATAGCTGTCCTTTTGGGGCCCTTTTTGGGGCTTACGTGGTTATAAGGCTTTTAACCAATGATGCTGGTTGATGTACTGTGTTTGGCCACGTACGGGAGCTGGCATGACAGACTATAGACTCTTTCATATCATACATATTATATCTCTTGTTCGTGCACAATATACAATATTCATTCATATGTGTGTATTATTTATCACATCCTGAAAGAAAAGTCTCAAGATCTCAAACCACCGAAACACTGAATAGCCTTTTTGTATATAGGAGTTCGGAGTTCTGGCAATTCTTGGCATGAGGTGGGACGAGACCACGCAGACCACACAGTCCCAAGCCTGTGCACCAAGCTGCATGTGGGAAGTTTGCCAGAAGGCTGGGTCCATCGGTGGGTGCTGGACGCTGCGCCGGGACCGGACGCTGCAGAAGCTGTTGTTCTGAACCGAGCGGCTGAGAATGACTGGGGAATATGGACACGCATTCAATTCATGGTTGAAAGACCAGATGCCATGGATACTCTGTTTTAGGTATGGCTGTGGGCCCCCAACGGTGCTCTCCTGGAGTTCTTCTGCAGATGTTGCTGCTTGTTGTTGTTGAAGTTGTTTTTGTTGGTGGTGGTGGGTGCTGGTTAGAATGAACAAACAGCAGCCCTACATTGACATGTTGGCAAATGTTGCAACTTCAAGGTTACGGTTAGGGATACGGTTGAAGATGGTTGAAGGTTTGAGGGAGTGTTGGTTTCGTAAGTTGCTGGACTTTTTGGACTTGTTTTACTTGAGTCTGGGTTGGTCCGGTTTTGGTGTTTTTGAGGTGTTGTTCTGATGGGGGGGGTCAAATATCAACAGCAGGGCCGCAGTATTGGTTTGTAGGGGATGCACGTAGAGACTACTTGTTCTGATGGGGGGGGTCAAATATCAACAGCAGGGCTGCAGTATTGGTTTGTAGGGGATGCACGTAGAGACTACAATACCTTTTGCGGGGTGGTTTCAAAAAAGCCACGGGGCTCCAGTTTTTTATTGTTATAGCTATAATTTGGTAGAGGTTCCTAAGCACAGGAGTAGTAACGAGTAGTAGCAGTAGCAGCAGCAGCAGCATCCGGATCGGGATCAGGAGCAGTAGTAGTAGTAGCAGTAGTAGTAGTAGTAGGACGACGACGACTACTGAGTACTACTACTGACTACTGACTACTGACTACTACTACTGACTACTACTACTACTACTGCTGCTGCTACTACTACTGCTGCTACTACCACTACTACTGAATACTCCTACTACTACTACTACTGCTGTTGCTGCTGCTACTGCTACTGCTACTGCTACTACTACTCCTACTCCTCCTCCTACTCCTACTCCTACTCCTACTCCTCCTACTACTCCTCCTCCTCCTGCTGCTGCTCCTGCTGCTGCTGCTGCTGCTCGTACTGCTGCTGCTGCTCGTACTGCTACTGGTGCTGGGTGGCTTGTTGCTTGGGGAGGTGTCAAGAAAACAACAGCGGGGCAATCTCGCATGGGTCTGGTGCAGGCCTGCTGCTGTTTTGTTTGTGCTTGCTGCTACTTGTTGCTTGGACTGCAAGCAGCACTGCTGCTGCTGTTGCTTGTGCTGCTGCTGCTGCTGCTGGTGGTGTTGCTTGTGATGCTGCTAGTTTGCTGTTGCCGTTGGTTTGCTTTTGCTATTGTTTCTGCCTCGCTGCTGGTGGCTTGCTTCCGGGGCAGCGGATCCTACTCATTTGCTGCCTCTCATTCGTTGCTGAACACACCCGACCATGAAAAAGAAATGTGTTGCACACATGCTTAAACTTGGCAGGGCTGTTTGGTGAAGCGCGGTGTCACGAGGGAACAAGCAACGCAAGGAAATTGATTTAGTTGTGGCATGGTGTCCCCGTGGGATTTGTTTGCAACAACTGCATTGCAAAAAAACGTTAGTGTGCAGTGTATGTTTCATATATTAGTCCAGGGTCCAAACTATATGGTTTGGGGCAAACAAAGAAATTATAAATGAATTGCTTCAAAGACATTTAGCAACTTGAATTGAACCGAACCCAATTGAACGATCAAGCGCCCTATGCCCAATTGAATTGCAACTTGATTCTCAAGGTGTCTTTAGATTGGCCATCACGTGGTTTTCGACTGTAGAGATCTTTCCTTTTGTTCTGAACTTCAACCGCCAAATGCAAAAAGGCCTTCAACGAGTGCCAAATCAATGGAGGGACGCTGGCTGCATGCAACGACCAGATCATCAGCATGAATCAGTGCCTCGGTCCTGTTCTGTTCTGCGTTGCTCAGAGGGGTCGAAGACGTGCGTCATACTGTGCGAGAGAAAGGTAAAAATGTCGAGTTGTTTTTGCTCTCCGATGTTTCCAAGGCACATAGAAGATCTGGGGCAGATCAAAGTGGTCGATGTTGGTGAGGTCTGTGAAACCTAGGCGAGTTTCCAAATATCAAGAGGTGCAGTTCCTTGACCCACCGCATGGTAGGATCTCCAAAGAAGTTGGGTGTGTAAACCAAAACGCAGAAGTTGTTCATGGCTGTAAATGCATCAACGACAGATGTGATGACCCTTGCATGTCAGCTTTCATCCACTATTCACTCAACATTCAGAAGGTATTTAAACATCAAACACAGTGGATTTCCCAAGTAGGGAGTTCCCCCCTTACGGCATGCAGGTGGTCAAGACAATCAGATGCAGGGCAGTCATGGGGCAGTCATGGCACCTGAAGGTCGCAAAAATCAACTTTCTTCGGGTAATGCCTCATACCGTGCATACCTCGGGTCTGGAAAATCCACTACCTCCAAAAAAAGTCAGGTTTACTCACTAGGGGTGAATCAGTTTAAAACATGGGTACAATCCAGGTCCATGAAGCATTTCCCCTGTCAAGGACCAGCAGTTGATGTAGTTCAGAGTGAGGTTACCTCCAGTGGCTCTCCCTGTTTTGGGTTATCCTGTGTTCCCGCTTCCTGTATGTGGGTTTGTCGGTCCCTCAAGTGTCAGTGTATAGAGAGGCGACATATTGGTGAGTGAAAGTTTTTGAATATGAAGATGATGAAGTCTAATATCTCAAAGATGTTGGTCATTCAGAGCCATTCACCACACACCAATCCTGCTCAGACCCAGACCTTCCAATTGCTGTATTGTTTTGTGTCCACCTAGGTGCCGGGAATGCTACTTCGTGAGCTGTGAGGCCGTGGGCAAAGGGTGGACTATCACGACAGGTCATGAAAGATGTCATGGTGCCACTGGCCGAGCCAGTGTTTGGAACTCAACATGAACCAATGGGTGTTTTTGTTCAGATAGCTGGTGCTTCAACCGGCACTCCTGGCAGTGCAGTTTTCTTGCAAATGTTGCCTTCTGTTGATACAGTTAACATGTGTCAAGAAAACTGCACTGCCATGAGGCACTCTGTGGAAAATTCTGCACTTTGTCGACGGCTAAGCTCCACATGTTTTCAGAAGTCTGTTCTCTGTGGGAGGCTTCAGTCAAGCATATCATAAATATGGTTCTTTTGTTTGACTGTTGTTTTCCTTATTTGTTCCATGTGTTTTTGTTCACAATCATCTAGTGTAAATGTTAAATTAGATTCATGCCAAGATATTACAAGTTAAGTCTATAGATACAAATTTCAAAACACAGGCTCCATGGCGGCCCCTTCTTATAGAAGTGATCAATCCCAGAGATCTAGGGGGAAGCTTTTGAAATAGAAGCTTTTATATGCAGTATAGGAATGATTATTCACAGAAATCTAGAGGAACACACATATATATAGTTTTAACAGAACATACAAATGAGGTTGAATTAGAATTACATTTGAATTGACTGATTCAATGAGGTATGTATAGGGATCCATTTTGTGATACAAAATGCACCAAAAAGCGTACGGCCACAACTGCCCGCTCTCTATTTCAATGCGTGTTTTTTGTCTATCAATGTTTGGAACTTGCACACATCATGTGGCGGTTGAACGCCCCTGTGACATCAACAAAATCATCATAGGAAGAAACATCATCGGGGACGGCACGAGAAAGCGCCATGGGGATAGCCCTCATGTGTTCTTTCCGTCGGCAGGCGAAGGTCCATAAAGCCGGCAGGTGTCGAGTTCTTCTCGATCTCTCGAAGCGATTTTCACCGCGAAGCCGATATGTGTCTATATTATTCTAATAGAATATGATATGTGTTTATAATAATATATATCATATATATAATCATATGACATGTGTCTATACGTTTGTGAATGGCCAGAGCATTTGACTCGCCGGTCGTACGGTCCGCTCGGACCGGTCCCTCCGCGGACTGCAGAGGCCAAGTGCAGCGAGGGTGCCTGTGATGCCGCGTTCTCCTCGCGTGACCAAGCCTACAGGCGAGCCACCAGAGACCGGTCTCTCTGCATATGGAGATGGTGCAGATATTGTTTCATTTGTGGGTTCTGCTGAATAGTGAGATATTTGTTCTGAATGTGTGAGATATTGGTGTGAGGTTCGTAGTTCCAATGTGCCCATTGCAAGAGGTGGACAAGGCGTTCATAAACAAATCCTACACAAGCCTAAGAATAATTCAAATCTTCTATGAAGGGATTTGACACTGCATAGCACGGCTTCAAACCGTAAAGCCTTCACCATTAAGGTTCCAGAAATGCAGGGGCAAACATATGTGTTTCAATTCATGCTAGTTGTGCTTGATTCCCTTGCAAAGCACTCTAATTGGCAACCTGGTCCACATGAACCTTCATTGTCTACAGTCTTTTGCGGTGGCACAAGCATCGCAAGACAGCAAGTTTTCCTCCGCATTGTCAGGGAGTGTGCTGCCTGCGACGACACTGTGGCATGCAATCCCAATAGCCCTTGCTGCTTGGGCTGACGGCTGGGGCCTCCTCCAACCTACTAGCCTAGCGATGGCCTCCAACCTACTAGTGATGGCCTCCAACCTACTAGCGATGGCCTCCAAGTAAAAAGAACAAAACGCCACGATCCGTAGAACCGGAGATCCCTCGTTGTGCTTTTTGTTTTGTCAGATTGTTCGCCTAGCTACCCCTGGGATATTCCCGCTCGTATTTTGTTTTGAGGAGTGAAGTGTGACGTTTCATGGGCCAAGTCTTCTGACCAAAGCAACAGCCCCAGCCTAGCTCTTGGCACAGGCAGCAACGATGTTGCTATACTTGGGACGTGCGGAAAGGAGTTGCAGTGGATTGCTGTGATGTATTGCCTGTCCAAACATGGAAATCACAATTCTTCTTTAACTGGAGAGAACGTAAGGAGGAGAATCTCAATGGCTGCCAAGTTCTGAACCCACCAAATCAGAGATACTCAACTGAACCAAGAAGATCAAGAGTCGACTCGGCACACCATTTCTAAGGTCGCCGAAAGTGTTTTTGACAAAACGGAGCGGACCCAAGCACCTGGAACACGGACGTGTGTTTCAATTCGGTCGTGTTGTAGAGTCAGGTTTTACATGTTATTCGTATCTTCCGATGAAGTGAGAGGCCAGCCGTTTGGATTCAGAGTCCAAAATGAAGTCCAAAGCGGGTCCCTCGGAAAAGACTGCACCATGAACAATGTTGTCTAATTAGTCCACTTCCACAGCCACAAAAACAATTATCAAACAGGAATTTCAGCCGCAACACGGGCTGGACGCAACCAAACCTTGCACGGAAAGCCTTTTCATAGACTCCTCATGCTTATTCATATCCACGAGTTCCTGTGGGGTTCGCTGGCAGCAAACAAAACGTGCCAAGCCACCAAGCTGTGGGGTCGCCTGGGGTCGCCACGTGACACCTGGGGGGTTTCTGCTGGTTGTGACCGGCCGCATGCGACCGCATCATGCGAGGCTATGGAGACAACGGGGACTCCTCCTGCAACTGGCTTTGGAAGCCTGAGTTTGGCACCAGCTGCCCGCAGCTTGGCCGAGAGAGCGGAAAAAACCATCAACCCTGGTATAGACGTCAAGTACCTCATTGACCAACTGGCCTAGTATATTTTTAAACAGTACGAGAGAGAGAGAGAGAGTCGAGGTCGATATGATAATATCATCCTTATTTGCTATCTCCTGAGTGCGATGTGACCAATATCAGTTGAAACAACTAAACAAAGTTAGTGTGGAAGTTCTGACTCAATACCTGGGGCAGCATCTATACTTGGAACTTCCCAGTTTCCCTCAACAACCACCTTGAGCAATTTGGAGTATATATAACATGATACAACGAGACAAACGGACGCCATTTCGCACGTACGTCTGTCACAGCCGCCCAAACGTACGTCGTCCCCAGTCGCAAGCATTCCTCGCCCGGCCTCGTCGTACGAGGGCGGTGGAGGACTCGACCCCAAAAGAGGTCCGGTGACCGAGGGTGGTCACACCCGGCAACAGGAGCCTGATATGGGGTGACCGAGGGACTGGTGCGATACTTCGAAGCGATTGACAGACTGGTGCGACTGACGAAAGTAGGGAATGAGGGTGGCTCGGCCCCGGCTGGACCCGATAGGAATTCCCTACCTTCGTCGCATCAGCCGCATCAGTCAGTCGAACATATTTGATCCCATGCCCTAGTCACCGACATACAGTCCCTTCTTAAGGACCCTTCACCGACACACCCAAACTCTCCGGTCTCCTGTTTTCACGTGTTTCAGGGCTTTTTGGAAGCACACCACATCACACCACCAGCTGCGGTGGACCCCCCCACCTGGACCGATCACGACGGACCGATTCCGGTGGAGCAAACCGTGATCCTCCCGCGCCCCCGCTCGGGTACCGGAGTCGCGCGACCGGGGTGGACCGCGCGATGAAGGATCCTTTGTGAAGAGTCCATCCGAATCTGCCAGGCGCCGGTCCGCGCCGGTGTCGGAGTCGGGCCGTCGATCTGTCGGAATCCGGCGAAACCGCGTCCGCGTGCGTCCGCGTCGCCGGAAACAGCGGTGGTCCATGGGGGTGGTGCGAAAGGCAACACGTAAAGAGAACCGCAGATTTGCTGTGAGGAAAGACTTGGTGAGTGGGAGTAAGAAAGGATGACTCGGGAGAAACGTAAAAACGATGGTTGCTTGAGCCCAGACGAAAGGTGAGTGGTGTCCTGGTGTTCTATTCGCCATCCCTTCTTGTCAAATAAAATGCTATGGCGCAAACTCCTTCAATGGGGAGGTTGGGTCAAGTTGGGAGAAGTAGCCAGGTAGCAATTGGGTTTCTGTATCGTTCCAGTAATTCTATTACTTTTGAGGATAGTCAATAGGGGTGAGTCAAGTTGGACCGCCGAATTGGCGACCGAATAGGGCGTTGACCTTGGATAGAACGAAGGCAAAAAGGGCTATTCGGGTCCTGCATTGCGTTGAGTCGCCTGACAGCGAAGACGTTGTGGAATTTCCTCCACGTTTGAGGGAGGGTACAGCTGACCAGGTCTTGAAAGAATTGAGTGAGAACAGCACAATTGTCCTCCTGATGCTCGAAAGTCATGAGTTGGCCAAGTCCACTGATCACTGAGCGATCTAGAGAAGTGGGTGCCTTTGGCGAGCGGTCATTTTGACGAGTCTGAGCAGTTCATTTCATCTCCACATCTTCATCTCCACTGTTTTTTTTGTCCTTGGCGCTTCATCTCAGTCCAGGAGAGTGTGCAGGGCCATTGTCATAAGTGGCTGGAAGACCAAGAGAAGTCCATGTGGGACATTTGCCACGAGGCGTGTGGGACAAAAAAACCGGGTGTATGAGGGAGATGTGGGACTCCAACAACATCAGACCCAGCACCCCCCCCGCTCCAGGAGCCCATGGCATACCTGGCCCATAACCATTGGAGCCAGAATCATTGGACCATGGGGGCTCTGGGCATTCATGATATAGCTAGGAGTTCAATTTCACTCAGTTCTCGTCGTCCTTGTACCACCACGTCGCGTCCTTGTACCACCACGTCGTGCCCTTGAAGGATAATTCCACAAATGAACATTGGAGGTATTGGCACAGTTCCTGGGCAGTTGCAGGAAAATGGGTAGGCTAGGTCCATGAAAGTATTATAGTCAGAGGAATTCCTTGACACGCTCAGTGAAATAGAAGAGAACTCAGTAACACACATGTGATCAATATATGCGTTGGCTTCCCTCCCTGCTTTTGGCACTGCGAACCTCACCAAGCGAACCTCACCAAGTCTCGTAGAACGCTTCCGTTGAACGCTCCCACATGGTGGCGCCCAATCGCAGATTCGCGGCGCAAAGCTCAGAGGAAACCAGACCAATTTTATACCTTGACTGACTTACTGTATAACATAATAAGTGATTGGTAGCATTTGCACGCTTTTGCTGCATCTATCTACTCTGAAGTGGCCATCGTTTCCCGCGTTTCGAGGAACAGATCGGCGGTGTCCGACCGTTTTCACAACGCGTGCAGGAGTATGACCAGTACCGTCCCCAGATGGACGAATGCATCGCCACCGGCACCGATGCCGCGGAGCCTCGACGCCTCCGTGGGGCGAAACAAACCCAAAAGACCTGACTGGCGTGACCTCCCGGTCGCCATGGAAAAAGAGTGGCATAGTCGCCATGGTGGCATAGTCCAATGCATATGTGTTTGTTGTTTTCAGTGGTCTTTTCATGTTCTGCTTGCAAATCCGTTGTTTGGATCGGCTGGGATCCGTAAGTATACGTGCGGTCCGTCGTCTGCTGGGACACTGATGTTGTGCTTGTGGAATCTATGTACTAAGTATATACAGTCCACATGTCGCTGTCCGAGTTGAAGTAATCAGTGACAATCAGACTGGATTGTGATGTGAATAGACCATTCAAGACTTCAGACTAAGACCTTGTAGGCATTACTCGCCTTCATGGCCGCTCACCCAGTACAAACATAATCACTCATCGGCGGTTTCCAAGAATAGCCATGAACAACCTGGTTTAGAGACAACCCTCCATTCCAACATGTCGGATAACCTGGCTTGACAAACTCTAAGTGTGCAAACGTTTGGAACCATGTTCTGATCTCTTCTTTTGAGAGCCCGCATTTTGGAGCCAACCATGAACATGTACACATTCAGAACCATTCGGATATATTAATTCAAAACAAAACAAAAAACAATGTTGCCAACCATGGGTGTTTATTTGGTGGATCATCCTGCTGAATCCATGCAGAAAATCCTTGGGTGACTCGCAGCGTCTGGCCTTTTGGCCCTGGCCCGGTCAAGAAGGCATTGATGTCGGCGAATAGGTGTCCACTACAAGTGGCGGTCGTTTGGCAGTATAGTCTGCAGCTTTTCAGGTGACAAAGTAATCTTGAACAGTGCTGCAGTTCTCCGTGATTTGATTGTTGTGTCTTATTGTGTCTTAATGATCCCCCTCTCGCTAGTAGGTTGGCCATCGCTTCGTTGGTCTTGATAGTGATGCCTAAAGTGCTAGCGGTCACATCTACACACTTCAGATCAACAAGGGGCGCAGCTAGTAGTAACAAGTGCCACGCTAGTAGTAACAGGTGCCTTACTAGTAGTAACAAGAAGCTAGTAGAAACAAGTGCATCGCTTCTAGTAACAAGTGCCTTACTAGTAGTAACAAGAATCATGGGATTCTGAGTTCGTCCATTGGAATTTCAGGTCGTCCTTGTCACCCTGCCTACATTCCGATTGGCCTTGGAAGTTATAAGACCACGGGTCCTGGCTGGGCGGCTCGCACGGGTTCTTGGTAGTGTTCTTGGTATATACTGTACTAGTATGTACTGGTATGTATACTATTGTGTATGAAGAAAAGTGTGGCATCAATTCAGTGATAGTTTATTCTGTTGAAACATCAGATGTGGCTCATATCAGGCTCATATCCCAAGTATATCAGCTAATTGCATGTGCCTTTCGACCCAATCCCGAGCCACGGCCAAGTATCAGCAGAACCCCAACGGCATTTGGTCCGAAATCGAGGCAAGGATGCCATCGGTTTCACAAGCGGTTTCACCTGTGTTCTTCGGACTCATGAGGTCAGACGAGGTCGAGGTGGCCCCTCCAAGATTACCTGGTTTGCGGTTCGGATCCGGGATCCGAAGTTGACGCTTCTTTTTAGAAGATGTTCGAGAAGTCGAAGAAGTCGTGATTTGGTTGAACAAATACAAGATATCTAGATGTTTGTTTGACATATAATATGTTGTTTGTGTTTCATGATGTTTCATGCACACTTCATCCAAGACCTTTTTTGGGGGAGGCCTCGAGACCAAATCACGGTTTTTGAGGGTCTTCACCGCAACGCTTTAAGCTACCGAGCTTGTGTTGCACGAGTCTGTGCTGCAGAAGACGGTTCGGGAACCCGAGTCTAACTGCTAAGAGGCTATTCTCGAGGGCGCTCTAATTCAATGCTAAAGCTAAAGCCCATCCGTCCGATCCAATCCCCTAGGACGGACCACCCACAGGAACGGCCCACAAAAGAACGTTGGGAATGAAACGGACCGATCCAAAAAAACTAACTATGGGAATGAAGCCGGTAGGTGATGCCGCCCATGGCCCTGACCCGTTTGTGAGCGAGGCACCACTTGCCTTTGGATGTGTCTGGACATTCTCACAATTTCTCACATGTCCTCACCGCTCAGATCTCCTCACCAGGTGAACAAACATCCCCCATCATCCCACATCCATCCCAAGATCCCAAGGTGTCAGACTTTACACCCCACTGAAGGACGGTGATTTTCTCAGACGCCCGGATGGATGTCCAAGGTCTGAATGTAGGTGAGGTTCGGCGTGGTTTCATGCACCCCAACAAAAGCATCAAAACACCGATCGACTACCAGAACCAAAACATGATAGCTCCCGACAACCCTTGGTTAGAGGCCTAGCATTTCGTACTTGTGGAATCCACACAATTTTATACCATGTTTATTGTCCACTGAGTCACTGGGATTTGCGTCACGTGCTTTCGTCGTCCAGCCACGGGCGTTGTTGTACGATGTTGCAGTGGCCAGATTGGTGTGGTGATCGAATGCCGCGACAAAATTATTCCCTCCACTTGGGAGTGCTTGTCCTGTGATGGAAGCTCGGCGCAAGGCGCTTTCTAAAGTGCATTGTGTTGGGCCTCAAATGCCAATGTGTTGAGAAGAAGTCCAGCGAGTCTGTGCGACTATCAGTCTATCATTCTCATTTAAGATCTGAAGTGCAGAGGTTTGGTATACGTGGCGGCGTCTTCAGCAGAGCACGCATGGGCCGCACGCATGGCAGGGCTCAAGAGGTTTCAACATAGTTCTAGGATGTTCCAGGATATAAAATTGAACCTGGCCCTTTCAAACGACAGCCATCGAGCGTTCGCTGTTCTGCCACGCGTTTCCGAAGCTCTGTGCTGCTTTCATGTTGTCAGGCCCTTCGGAAAGGTAACTCGAAAGCCCCCAGGCAACGAGGGGACATTGATTGTTCTCTTAATGATTCTTAATGTATCTTAATATGTTGTTATTAATAAGTCTCAAACACGCCATCCAGATCACTCAAGTCACATTCCAAGGCCATCCTGTTGGAGATGGATGAATAATGAATACCATTTGTCCTGAGGTTGTCAGCGATCCTTTCCTCATACATGGAGCTTGTGATATCAATGATACCTTATCAACATTGCGTCAATCTTTCTCAATTGGACTCAATCCAGAATTCAGTATACATAGCTAGGATATGCTAGGATCAGGATCAGGCTTATTCAAGTTCGGAATATGTTTGAACCAACCCCCAAACATCGAATGGCCCTTCTCTTGCTCCACTTCAACCAGTTCCCTCGTCCGTCCGGCCATCCTGTGGTCCTGAGGAGAATGGAACCGCCATACTGCATGGGGAGTGACATACGGAGCCTCGGCTTAGCAAAACGGGGAAGAAATGCGCGGTGAGCTGTTCGCCCGCTGGATGGCTGATGGGCCCCTTTTTGATTGGACTCGGAGGTGAGGAAGGTCAAAGGATTCACCATGGGGGTTCCATGGTTCTGCAATTCTTGGTGCATGTCATTGGGACTGTTCTGGGATCTTGAAAGCCATTTGAACCGATCACGCAGCGTGGATATCCTCTCGATCGCGCCTGCCCACTTGGGTGGGACAATGGCTTCCACTGTATCACCACGTACATGCTTCAAAGCAACACAAAGCTACATGCTTGTTAAGCTCGCTCGCTCGCTCGCAAGTGCGCTCACTCCAGTACGCAATTGATGCTACCGTTGGGGGCTGCGCATGCTGGAACTACCAGGACAGGTGCAAAGCAGACTTTGGAGCAGCTATTGTTGGTTTTGGTTGGTTGGCATCTCTTCTGTTGGCTGCAGCAGGTGAGTTCATTCTACCAGGACCCTGCAACAGGTTGTTTGGTTGCTAACAGGTGGTTTTACTGTATGCTTTTGATGTTGTTGTATGTTTTTGGATGTTTTAGGTTCTGCTTCGCTGCGCAATGCCAAGGACCCCAATGCATCGCCGGCAGCATCTCGTTCGACGGCCGCACGGTGCCAGACATGTGCAGCTCCTGTATGGCGAGGAGGGGTGTGAGAGAAGCAGCTTTGCAAGTCCTGATGGTTGAAATCCTTGTTCCAGATTCGATGGTGTTTTTATGTGTTTTTCAATGTTTTTCATGTATTTTCCCACCTGTCAGGTGAGGGTTGTTAGATTTTGTGTTAGCCTCGCTGCTCTCCTCTCTCCTGCTCGCCTGTCCTCTCCTCTCCTCGTCGTCCTCTTCAACCGCGAGGGTCGGATGGCAGTGTTCCGCGCTGGACCTCAACCGCCAGCTCCGGACAGCAGTGTCTTTCTGGCATACCTTCTGATATTCTTCGGACATTCTTTCTGACATTCTTTCTGGCATATCTTCTGCATATCCTCTGACACTCTTTCTGGCATATCTTCTGACTCGCGGTCGAGGTCTGGCGGGGAACATTGCTGTCTGGAGGAGGTACGGCGGGGAACACTGCCGTCCGGAGCTGGCGGCTGAGGTCCGGCAAATGTCAGAGGATATGACAGAAATTCACAGAAAGAATGTCAGAAGATATGCCAAAAAGAATGTCAGGAAGAATGTCCGAAGATAAGCCAGAAAGAATGTCAGAAGATATAACAGAAAGAATGTCAGAAGGTATGCCAGAAACAATGTCGGAAGATCTGCCAGAGACAAATGCAAGACAAACGTCAGAAAATATGCCATTCAGAGTGCCAAATGATTTGCCAGAAAGAACATCAGAAGAATGTCAGACGATATGATTTCAGAAAGAATGCTAGAAATATGGCAGAACGAAGATCAGAAAGAATGTCAGAAGATATCCGAGAAAAATGCAAAAATGATGTTTCAATATCTGCCGATTAAAAAGTTGTCAGATTGAAGTGTCATGGTGAGGTTCACTTGAACTGAAGTAGCTTTGTTTTTCTCCTAGCATGAAGTCTGAAAGAGCAACGCTGTTCAATTCTTGTCACGCCCCGACATCAACCTCCTGGGACCTACCCAGGACCTGCCCCGAGTATCCAGTGAACTGCTGGGCACGTCCGGATGGCCCAGCGATAGACGAAGCAGACAAATATGTGCAGCAACC